CCGCGGTCTCAACCATCTACGAGGAAATAACAAGGGTGGACAACTTTTCTTGCTAAGTCATCGTTACATGGGGAAACAGAGAGAGGTATGGCAACATGAACTCCAAACTGCAAAGGACCCAATTTGGTGCATCCTCAATGTGTTCGAGACAGACATCCAAGATATCAAACTATCTGTTTATCATCTACAACGCCCTGACGGCACGGAATTCACCTGCAAAGAAAATGACCTCTACATGCTAAAGATGGATGACATCTATCAGATGTATCTTGCATTCCAAGAACTTCCCGGAACTCGTGACAAGATTACACAAGATGGCTTTGATGCACTCAAGCGCTTTATGGTCAGACAAATCAAATTCTTTGCCTCTCATGATCTTCAGATGGCTCTTGAGTCAAATATGCCAAAGACGAATCTCTCAAGACCAAAGTTATACGGACCAGAACTTGAGGATTTTCCTGCATACTACATCTTTGACAGTCCAGTTACTCTAATCTATTTGAACCACAATGGTGAGAAACGTATGTTGTTCGTCGATGAGTTAAACAGTACTGTGATGGAACACTGAAGATTGTGAAAGAAAAGTTGCAACCAATCAGGAAAGAATTTGAAGAAAGACAGCAAAAGTATGCAGATGCAACGGATGCTGAACTAAAAGAGGCAAACAGAATCGACAACATTTTACAAGCTATTGAGAAGCAACTTGACAGAAGAAAGTGTCTCAGGAACACTACTTCAAAGCTCAGAAGTGAAGATACCCAGCAAGACGGCACTTGATCACAAAGGGGGGGATTGTTAGAACTTTTATTGTGAGTCAAGTTTGTCTGTAATGTCTTGTTTAAATAAATTAGAATAGATATACCATTTACGGTATTAGTTCTACTATGTACTAAATAGGAGTAAAGGAATAGGGCCAAAAAAGGCTCTAGGCCCAAACTCCTAGGTAACCTAATTCGGAAACCCGTGCAACGCCTATAAATATGCGCGTCCTGCACAAGTACCAAAGTCGATCATTCTATTTCCTAGCCTTATGCTGTCAAAACAGTTCTCGATATAATAGAAGAAGAATTTCTCTGTTCTCGATATTGCCTTAACATTATCAGATCTTCTTTCTCTCTGTTTATCGATGAATACCATCTAGATGTGTGTTAGTCTGCAGAAATCTGGTACCAACAATTATTTTTCTCTAGAAGAGTAAATTTAAATGCAATCCAGAAGATTAGGCCCCGAAGGCCAATGATTGTACTCTTTTCCTTTACTAAGTTTTTCCCGCATGGTTTTCTTAGTTAAAGGTTTTTAACGAGGCAGTCAATACAACACATCGTATTACATATATTATGTACTCTTTTCCTTGATTGGTTTTTTTCCAAAGGGTTTTTCCAACAAGGTTTTTAACATCGCATACACATAGTACGATAATTCATTCGAGAAGTTAGCAACCGGATTCGATTGAATTGGATTCAACAAGAAGGCTTGAAGTGATGCAGTCAACAGGGGGGAATATACGCGCTACACTCTTTTTCCCTTGACCAAGGTTTTTAACGAGGCAACATCATCAATGTGTATAAAGAGAATAATATATATTTTTCTTGTAATGTTTTTATTTATTTGTAACGCCCCTCTCAGGGTTAAAGGGAATGTTACACTAGCATACTACTTTTTAAAAATAAGCTGCTATATAACGGCCGTTTGTTTAAGAAATAACCCTGATAAAATCTCAAATATAACTAAAATTTAACTCCAAATAAAACTCAATAAAATTCTAGTTATCACCGGCAAATGTGATAACCACCTGGATCCAGGAATTTATTCAAACTTCAAACAATCCAAATAAATAGTCCAAACTTAATCAAATAATATCAATCATTTTTTATAAAACTGAAACACTTCAATAAAATAAACTAGCTAGGAGCCGCCAAGGTCGTTCCCGTTAACTCATCTTGGCACGCGTTCCACTCTCTCATCATCTTCCTAGGCCTTGGCCTTACCTTTAGTATCTGTACATGCGAAGAAAGAAAACTGATAAGCTTTACGCTTAGTAAGTCACTATGGATCCACAAAAAATATCTAGAAGTCTATGCCAATTTATCAATAGATAAATTTAGGCTATAAGCATGCACTAAACAATCAACTAACACATAACTTCTCAAACACATTCTGAGAGAGTTCTCAAAGGGAAAATATTTTCTAAAACATTTTCTCAAAACAGAGATCTCAAAATTTATTTCTGAAAACATCTCTGTAAAACTTTCTGAAAGAGATCTCAAAACAACTTTCTGTAAAACTTTCTGAAAGAGATCTCATAAATTTCTGTAAACTTTTGTGGCTAATTTTAACTGTGGGCCCGTGATATGTACTCAAAGGCGCCAATCCGACAGCTCAGGGGAGCGACCCACTAAACATATCGGACTCTCTGAAACTGATAAACTGATAAACTGAGGGAACTTGTTCCCGAGTACATATCACCTGATCTTTCACTTTAAATATTAGTTCTTTTTATGGTGGTGACGTTTGATTAAGGTGCTGTTCTGTTCGTCTTATTCTTATTACTTATTGCTTATTCTTATTTTATTCAGATCAGATCAGATCAGATCAGAAAAATTCAGATCAGATCAGATCAGATCAGAAAGATTCAGATCAGATCAGATCAGATCAGATCAGAAAGATTCAGATCAGATCAGATCAGATCAGAAAGATTCAGATCAGATCAGAAAGATTCAGATCAGACCAGATCAGAAACATTCAGATCAGATCAGATCAGAAAAGTTCAAACATGATTTATCACTTTTATTATTATATTAATTATTATTATTAATATTGTTATTACAATTATGATTATTATTATATAATTATTATTAATAATATTAATAATAATATGATAACAAAAATAAGATATTAATAATAGTTATAATATTTTAATATAATAATAGTAATATAAATGTAATTATTAAGAAGACTATTATTATTATTATTATCATCATCATCATCATCATCATCATCATCATCATCATCATTATCATTATCATTATCATTATCATTATCATTATAATTATAATATAATATTATAATATATAGAACTAATTATAATAATAATAATCATATTATTATTATATTATTGTAATAATAATATGAATATAATAATATCATTATTATAATATTAATTGTATTTATATTACTATTATTATATTATAATATTATAATTAATGTTAATATAATTATAATTATTATTAATTATAATTATAATAATTATAATTATACTTATAATTATAATTTATGATTATAATTATTATTATTATTATTATTATTACTATTGTAATTATTTTACGGAGTAATTATAATAATATTGATAACTATAGTTACAATTATAGAGATAAATATTGTAATTATAACTACAAATATAATTATATAAGTAATTATAATTAAAAATATAATTACAATTATAATTATATCTATATTTATAATTAGTGTAATAAGTATAAATTTTTTCATTTTAAATTTAATTTTAATTATTATTATTATTATTATTATTATTTTTATAGTTACGAATATAATTATAATTTTATTTAAATTATATTTGTAATTGGAATTATAATAATTATAATTATAATTATAGAAATATTCAAATCAGATCAGATCAGAAAGATTCAGATCAGATCAGAAGGATTCAGATCAGATCAGAAACATTCAGATCAGATCAGACCAGATCAGAAACATTCAGATCAGATCAGAAAGATTCAGATCAGATCAGATCAGATCAGAAACATTCAGATCAGATCAGATCAGATCAGAAAGATTCAGATCAGATCAGATCAGATCAGAAAAATTCAGATCAGATCAGATCAGAACTTAAAAAATTCAGACCAGAAACATTCAGATTAGGCGAAGAGAACAGCTTCTAAAAACATCATTAAATCTGAAAATAAAAGTACTGACAAAACCTTGACTATGTCAGATAATAAACATAACTTAATTCAGCAATTAATATAACTCAACAAATAATTCACCCGGTTCACATAATAGCATATAGACTAAAATCATCTATTAAAAATCAACCAGACTTCTTTCTTTTTATTTGCAAATATGGGCAGGGTTCATATTAACGACGTTAATATGAGTGGATGTCCATTAAACTCCAAACCCGTATGTATTGGCCCATATGAAATGTAACCCTAACTCCCATCCCCTTGTATATATATATATATATGTATATATATATATATATATGCTATTTTTTTTCCCAGGCAATGATCCTGAAAACCCATAAGGTTTTCTGGGTGGGGGCCAGGGAACACCCCACATATTTATTGAGAAAAATGAGAATACAAGGCATCATGTGTGAATGAAGTGATAGCTTTTGGTCTTGACTTACAACAAATACAAAATTATTAATAAAAATGAATTGTGTTTATCAGTAAATATATTTGTAATTACTTGTAATTATGGATTTGTACTCTCGCCACAAGGCATCATGGAGGATTTTTTCACATAAGTTCAACTAAAAGCTCATTTTGTAATCACGTTTTTCGCCACATTAGGCTTATCTATTAACTTCTTCACCAAACACGTACGTTTTGATTTCGCGCGTTAAATTGTGTAATGATGAGAAAAAGTGAGGTTGAAATTATTTTCTGACTATATTACTATATTGGCTGAAGTTACCATAAATAATCATTTTAGCCATTTGCTCATATAATTTTTCTTTATAGAATCTTAGCCACCTTCGATCCTCTACTATTGACATTGACATTTTTGATACTTGAGTTTTGATTTTTTCGATTTTAGTATTCAATTATTGTGCCAGAGACACTTCTAGACTACTAGTCATCAGTTTAAAGTTTCCTACATTTAATCTCACGAGTGTTATCACTTTTAGTCCTTTCACTATGATTTTAACACAATCAGCGAAGGACTAAAAATGTCAATTTATAATAGATGAAGGACTAAGAGAGTGCCACTTTTATGAAGATGGGAGGACTAAAAGTGAAAAAAATCAAAATTGAATACCAAAAGTTTCAATGACATAATAATCGAGGACTCATTAATCAGGACAAAATCCAATTAGTCATTTCAACCAAAACTTTCTATGACATAATAATCGAGGACTCATTAATCAGCACAATCATCCAATTAGTCATTTCAACCAAAACTTCCTAAATTTCAACGGAATAAACTCATTCAACCACATGAGATTTTTTTCAAGCAAGATGGAAAAAAGACCATAACTTTTTTCTTCTAATAATATATACTCCTACTATCGTAGTGAATATACAAAGAGTATAGCCTAGAATAAACATTGGAATTGAAGAGAATCATCGCTGTTCGCCCTCAACCTCCATGAGATCTACCGACAAGCGATGACAGAGGAGAATTTGCGGGAGAAGAGAGGCAAGAAACAGCCGATGAATATGATGTTCTTACAGCATTTGCAGAAGAGGACGAAGAGCAGCAGGATGAAGAACACGAAGGAGGAGAGATCAGTCCAACCAGCAAATCCATAAATGCTCTGACTATAACCCCATGATTCATCTTCGAATTCATCTTCAAATACCATCCCAGAAGCTCCTGCAATGAATCCCAATCGTTGATTCCGCTGCTCTCCACCATTTCCGCCATTGATTTCTTGAAGTCAAGGTATGGGTCGTCGGAATCCATGGATACCACCACACTCTCTTCGAACGGAGGACCCACTTCTCCGGCATCTTTTTCTTCTTCTCTCTGTTTTTTAACATTTTCTTGATTTTCCGGCGGGGGCTCCGGCTTGGCTATGGAGGAGCTGGTACCACTGCGGTCGAAGAACAGACGGTCCGACCTCACTCCGGTGATAATGATCTGCTCGTCGTCGGACTCCGCCGAGAAGCTAGCGGATTCTGAGGTGCTGTTGGTGAACCATGACTCCGGCGTCTCGACGCCGTCGGAGGGGTCGAGGTAGACGGAGTTGACGGTCTTGAACATGGCGTCTCCGCCGGAGACGGCGGCGTTGGAGCGAAAAGACAGAGTCTTTGCGTTGGTGCAGGAATTCCATTGCCAGGAATTGAGATTCTCTTCCCCTTCTCTGTTCTTGTTGAAAACGGAAGGGAATATATGGAGCTTCATCATCTTCTTCTTAGCCATCGATCGGAGATGGAGATTTTCCGGCTGAATTATAGATAGATTCTTTAAGGGTCGGTTTGGTTTGAGAGAGGTATTTGATTTGATGAGATTTTTTTGTTGGTTGGTTTGGAAGGAGCTGAGCTAGGATGATTGTTTTTTTGTTGGTTGGTTTGGAAGGAGCTGAGCTAGGATGATTGTATTAATGGTGATCAGATAGAATGGCAGGTGGGAGGGGGTGTTATAAAGCAGAGGCGGTGAAGTGGAAGTGGAACCAAACAAAAATTTAAAGCGAAATTATTTATTTTGCCAAAAAAGCGAAATTATTTATTGAATAAAATTTGTGTGGTGTACGGAACGATATTTAATGATGTGAAAATGATATTTTTATTTGGACGGTAATTTGTTGGTCTGGTCTGGTCTAGTCTGATCTGATAATGTCTTCTTTCTTTGTATTTTTATAACTATCCAAATATGGTCTGGTCTGGAACATATTATAGTCCAAGTAAAAAACATCTAACGAATAAGGTAATTAATTAAGACAAATTCGGTTAACAACCTGACCGAATTTTAGTCTATTGGTAAGTGGAGTAATTAGAGGTTGATAATATTTCAGTTTGGATTTTGGAAGCTAGCCAACTTTTGAAATTTAAGAAATAAATTTAGAAAAGTGAATTACGTCTAACAAAATTATAATTGTCAATGATAGTTAGTACCCTTAACTTATGTCAATACACTTTGTGCATGACATATTGTACATTGCTTTTAGAAAATTGAATCTTACATTTTAAAAGACTTATTTACCCTTACTAACTCTCCTAACATTTTACCAAAGAACCCCTTCCAGGGCAAAAGCTTCAATCATGTTCCATTGATTCTTCTGAACTCTCGTTTTGGGTTTGACGCTTGAAGGAAATAAATGGGGAGAGGAAAATCATCTGGTTCAATTTTGATGATAATTTACTTAATTAAAAATTTTCTCTGTTTTCTGGAAAAAAAAAAATTCTCTCTGTATCTTAAAACTTGGTCAAGTTTGACCGACACGGAGATAAATAAAATAAAATTATGTGATTGATGTTTGTGCAGAGAAGATAGAAGTAACTGATATCACAAATTCTTTATTAAAAGAGAAATTGACAATGTTAGTGGGACAATAAAAAAAAGTTGATTTTTTTAAGGAACGGAGAGAATATTTTAATTTATAGAATTATACATATATAACACATACACATCTACAAACTCAATCTGTACATAAACTATTATGTTTGATAACATTATTGTTGCAATTTATAATAAGAATCTACCCCCGTTACAACTATTTTATATACTTAAATGAAAAACATAATCAACTCGTACAATCACATAATATTAAAAATATGGGCACATTATGCATACAGTAGATGGTGGACTAAATATATAATTAATTCAATTGTTTACAAAAAAAAGGTAGGACAATTTCTTACATGATTTAAAAAAAAATCATAGCAATCTCACGTATAATAATTATTTACAAAAAGTATTATATTGACATTGGGCCAAAACTCTCGCGCCTTGCGCGATCAAACGCTAGTACTCATAATACGGATAAATATAATATATGTTTAATTCTAATAATAGAATAAAATAGTTAAAGATGTAAGAAGATGATCTTTTTGAGAAGATGGTATTCCCATTAGAGGAAATGTATTGTGTATAGATAATTTAGATAGTTATAAAAAAAGATAGTTAAAAAATTGTAAAGGTTTGACAGAGTTCTTGTGATACTCAAGGTGAGACAACCGTGAGAAAACATTTTTCGAAAAAGTATCATGGGAACATTAGCTACAATCGCGTAAAGGCAATTTGGTTACATGTAAAGCGTACTAGTTCAAGTATCTCTATATATTTAGTAAAATTGTTGGGTATTGGATGAATTGATTAAATATTTTGATTTAAAGAAAAAATATTTTAGAATATATTTTGTTAAAACTAGAATAAAAACTAAATTTATTACCATCATCATCAATTTCATTAATGTCATAAAAAGTCTTCAATCTACTTTTTTCCCCATTATTTAAGAGTCTTGTGCACGTCCATGAAAATAGAAATAATCAGAATATACATTACTAAAATAAAGATAATGGATATAGAATGTGACATTTTATATATATATATTAAAATAAAGATAAAGATTAAAATAAAGATAATGGATAGAATGTGACATTTTATATATTTTATATATATAATGACTATATTAGTAATTTATTATATTAGTAATTTATAATAACTACTACAGTTACCATGATTATGCATAATTTTAATTTACATTATAGTAGATTAGTAGTCACCATGATGTTACACTCATAGTAAATTTATAAACATTTTTATCTATTAATTTATGTTCAATAACATTTAGAAAAACACAATAAAAATGTAATTGATAAGACTGATACATAAAAAGGAAATCAAATAAATATTTAATATTACTGGCATTGTTAGTAATTAATGACTACTGATTTTTAAACTAAAGTATTGTGATTCTAGCAGATGTTACTCAAAACTATCAAATTCTTTTGTATGGTTATTAACAAAACGAATCAAATGAAACATATAAACTTTTAATTTGATAGTAAACGGAGTAACTTTATAACACTTAAAAAGGATTTTTTTATAGTATAAAAAGATCATTTGATAATATCAATGAACAATTACATAAATCTCTACACTAGCAAAAAGCAAAAGCAACCCGGCCATATGGTGTAAGTCTTCCATTCAAATCAACTGTCATAAAAAGTTACTATATAAAAATTCATATGACTTAACTTATTCGCTATCTGTGATCTTGTGATTAAAGTTTAATTTATATTTTGTCATATAGTTAACTGTCTGATCGATATTGAGGGCTCTGAGATGCCACCGGCGGTACTATATACGCTTCCCTTGAATACTACTCTGTAATTTTCTAAAACAGGCGGTGGTTAGAAAATCTGGATTAAACAAACCACCCCAAACATAAACATAGAAACTCGATCGAGAATTTCATAAGCATCACTCGTTTTCATTATGTGATTGTGATGAGCATCGAGTTTGTTCTTTTGAGTATTCAGGGTCTAACAATGAGCACCAGTGATTTCTTCTTCATATGAAATGTGAAACATTTTTCAATGAGCATAAAACAAAATCAAATGAGCATATGTAACTTACAAAGTGAATATCCAAAAATTCAAAATCTCGTTTGTGTGTGCTCATTCATTTTCGGTTTTATACACATCTAACCATGGATACATTTTAACTAAGTATCAAACTTCTTCTATTGTTTATTAAAATCATGCGGTTGAGCATCACGATCTGTGCTCATGTGTCTATAATCAAGTGTTATGTTAAAATATAATGAGCAGAACACCGGTACAAAATGAGCATTAGTATACTTTTAGTGAGCACCTAATTTTTTCTTTTTGAGTATTGAGAGTATAATAATGAGCATCGTAATATCGACTTCATATTTTGTAATTCATTTTGATTTTTTTATTTTTTAAAATATCTCCAATAAAGCCATATGTATCCAACATATGTAGTTAATGTAATATTATACTTTTGAAATATGTATGAATATGAACATTTTAAAATGAGTGTTATAACACTATCAAATGAGCATAAATAATTTACGAAATGAGCACAAAAATTAAAAAAAAAACTCATTTAAAACATCTACTATGCCAAAATGAGTATTATACAAATTTCACACGAGCACACATATATTACAAGATGAGCATCGACAAAATAACAAAATGTTATTTTAAATATCTAATATGCTCAACTTTTCATTGTGTATGATCATATTAGCAAAAGTAGCTATATAATTACAATCAAATCGCAGACTCCTGGAAATCACCATCTCCTAAGGTTGTGGCTAGAGCTTGGAGGTCGTCTGTCGCTGTAAAGTAATTAAATTGAGTTATGGTGTATATTAGTATGTTATTAAGATTGTGATGAAATTGATTTTAAATGAGAAAACCTAAGACACCAGTTGATATATGATGATCGATCGATCGATCGAGGTGGGATGGTGGAGTTGTGGAGAAGAAAATCACCGAGTTGAGCTTAGGAGAATTCATGAGCTATTGGCCTCCAAAAGCAGAGATGAGACACCAGTCAGTAGAGGGAAATCGTTGCTCACAAAAAGAAAAGACGAAAAGGAAGATAGCAGGGCGGTGGGTGGTGCGCAGCAGAACAAAAAGGGCCGGCTGTACCGTGCGCACGGTACAGCCGGCTGTATGGTGTATTTTACCGTATTCAAGTGTTCTCTTTCTCATTACTCGTTAAACCCTAAAAATAATTAAAATATACCAAACTTTGAAGGGGTGTGGGAAAACACACCAAACTTTCATATATAATTTAAATACTCCAAATTTTATGTAAAAAATTATTTTTATCACCATGGGTCATGTAATATTTATTTAAAAAAATGTGAATTTATGGTGTTAATTAAATTGCATAATTTAAAATATCAAATTGAAGATGTTGTAATTATATATATAGAGTGGGGGGATAATACTATATATTTTACAATGAATGAAAGTTTAGAATGTTAATTGTATCTTTATGAATGCTAAAATATTTTAAATTGTGAAATTAACTCAAAAAATTAACATTTTTGAAAAAAATAATACATAATCATGATGCTAAAATAACTTTTTATATAAAGTTTGATGTATTTAAATCACATATGCAAGTTTGGGGTGGTTACCTCACACACAGGGCCGGTCCTAGGGGGGTGCAACAGGGGCGACCGCCCTAGGCCCGAAAAAATAGAAGGGAAAAATAGGCCCAAAATTTTGTCTTTATATATAGTGTGAGTAGACTTCTTTTTTGTATTTAAGCTCCAAGTAATTAGGCCTAAGGTTTAATTTTGTTGAAAATTTAAAATCTTTAAAACAAATGTTAAAAGGCACGTGGCCGGCCTCTTTGAATAATTAACGGGGGTGTCCCCAATATGGATTCTAACAGATTTTAAAGGAATTTAGAATTCCATCTAAATTTGGGTGTAACACTTGAGATTTAATATAAATGGATTAATAGTACTACTCATACCAACAGAGGTGCATCTCCTTTTAAGGGAGCTCATCACTCAAGAACTCCAAAGTTAAGCGTGCTTGCACGAGAGTAGTCTTGGGATGGGTGAACCCCTGGGAAGTATCTCAAAGCGCGCATGAGTGAGGACAAAGTGCGCGGTAAAGGCTCGTGGTGGTTTG